TGAGTGTGAGTGAGTTGTGTGTGGTTGAGAGAGTGTTGGCCTTAGACACTGCTGTTATTCGGTTGGTGCTGGGGGACTATGGAAAGGGGGACGCAGCTACTGCCAAAATGCTCAGTCTTTGCGTTAGCTGGACCCCCACTGACGACCCCACCCCATCCTTGACCACCATGGTTGGGGCGGGGGGCAACATGCATCCCCTCTGATGTCTGGAGGGAGACAACAAAGCTATGTTCGCAGGGTTTGCAAGAAGAATATAGCGTCGTTTTAAATAAATACAAAAATAAAAAATCACTGATCTCGAGATATCACTTTCACGACAGGATTCAGGTGTCGTTAGACACTCCTCAGGGATGCGATTCCAAGGATTTTGGCATCGTTCCACCTGTCCTAGGAGTCGATTTTCAAAAAAAAAACGTGAAAACACTCCGAGGACAAATCCTCGGGCTCCGATGTCGGTGCGAATACCCTTACAAGGGTATCCGCACTGTTTTTTTGCAAGCGACAGAAAATAAGTTTGATTTAAGATTTAGGAATACTACGCGAGGTGCGGCTGCATCGGTGGTTTATGTTGGCTGAATGGTTGACTAGATTAGGGAGAGTGTGGGCGCGCGGATTTGAGGCGCGCGTGATCTTTTTATTTATTGATGATTAAAGAGTTGGCATGATCGCCGGCCAGATTTTTTTTTTTTTTTTGATTAAGTTAGGATTAAAAAGATTTTGTCTCCTGATTGATGTGCTTACCTGTGATTGTGCGTACGTGCGGGGGACGGCATCGACAACCATGTGAGTTTGAGATTGTTTTGGTAGGTTTGCGCGTCGCGCAGTATTGGTTTATTTTAGGTGTCCATCAGAGCTAGACCAAGACTTGGGCCTAGCACTAGCGGTTACGGCGTCAGACTTTCATTAGGGAGATTCTGGGATCGAGATCAAGAGGCGACGACGCGGGGATATCAAAGTAGCGCGAAGTGATTGAGGGGTTGAGGGTCCGACGAGGCTATCCCCCTTGGTTTTGCCGTCAGCGGACGCGTCCGTCGTTCTCCAACATCAAATTTTCCCAAGTATTTTATTATTTATCGTTGCATTATTATTGTTCTTATGCGCTGGCATTCCTTGAAACGGACACGGCATCGGATTAACGGGTGTCATGGCGGACGAAGACCTTAAGCGCGCGCCTCCTTAGGCTGACGTACGAGTCCCGTGCATGTTCGGGATGCCGGCGAAAGTCCTCTATTACACAGTTGCTGAAAACCACGGCGCGGTCAGGGCTTGAGTTTGTAGTTGCACTTGAGGCAAAAGGGGTTGCTAATGCCAAATGTATATGACCTACGCTTCGGGGCCGGTGAGGTCGAGTGGAGGTGTGTTGTATCCGTATGACGGCCTGTGGTGCGACTACAAACTGTTTTCGTGACTGCGCCAAGGTTACCCCGTAGCAGCCACGCTCGTGCTCAAGCCCCCAATAAGGGAACATGCGAGAGTCGCACCCACCAGCAAGTGTGATACCTGCTACAACAAGCAGGTAATACGGGCTAGGTGTCGGCCTGTAGCATCAGGGTCGGGCTTCTTCGATGGGTCAGTCACGGTGCCTCTCCTCAGGTCCCCTCCCCCTATGAGCACCGAAGCAGTTTCTGCTCAATGCCAGTCGGGGAGGACCAATGGCACATCTCTAGTAAACGGGTGTGGGTCCAGCCAGGCAGCAGCAGGCAGAGCAGATAGCGCAACTGGTGGCGTGCGCTGGTGAGAAGCGTCAGGCGGCTGCGGAGGCAAGGCGAGGCAGAGCAGCTACGGGCTAAGACAGGAAGCGGCGTATGTCACGAACCGATTCCTGTTCCGCACGACTTTCTGCGCGATAACAATTAGGGGTCCTAAGCTGGGAAGGATGAGCCAATTACGGAGATCGGGATTAAGAGAGAATCACATCAGTGTCCTCGCTCTTTCGTTTTTTCTCTTTCGTCGCTTCTTCTAGGATGGTTGGATTTAGGGTCGGGCAAGTCCCGGGATGATTGATTGAGTGGTTGTCGCGCCGACCAGGCGCGATTAATAATGGTTGACGCCGCTTCTTTTCTGTGCTGTTGTCGGATTTTAGGAGCGGAAACCGCGCGAGAATTTTTGCTTCGTTCTTTTTTAATTTTTTTTTTTGAATCTTGTCGAGCCACAATGGCTCTCGGAATTTCGGACTTTCCTTTCGGAATTCGTGTTTTTTGTTTTTTTTGCATTAGATATAAATTTTGGAATTTTGGAATTTAAGATTTTCTTTTGCCGCGCAACGCTTTTTGCTTACGCGTTTCTCTTTGCGGCAACAACGGAGCTCAGATTAGTCGGCGCCCTTAATCGTGTGTGTAACTGTAATTTTGAACGGGCGTCATTGTAACTGTATCTTTCTTCTTGAACTTCGTCTTTCCCGCTCCCCCTTTTTCCTCCTTTCGCTGTGCCTAGTTAGCTCGCGGCCTGCATGCTCGGATAGATGCGTGAAGAATGGCTACGTCCCCCGCGCCACAATCTGGCCATGCAGAACGCAGGCACTCCCTCTCCTAATCCCCTTTCTAAGTCCTTGCAATTCCGTATTCTTCGCGCATGCATGCACGCTATAAATTTCGGTTGCGCAATTAGATAGCTCTCTTAACCAGTTGTTGGAAGCTCCGGGCAGCGCGATTAGTGAGGGTCGGCTCACACGCGAAGTAAGAGGTGAGTTGAAGTGGAGTCGGGTAACCCGACGAGCTGGTGCCGAACGCGCGGGGTTGACGCGGGCCACGACGGACTGTGGGCGCGGGCGAACCTGACGGGTGCGGGAGGACTAAGCGGGGTGACGACTTCTTGGGTTGGTGCGTGACGACGGGCTGTCCGCATCGGAGAGAGAGAGAGGAAGAGGGAGCTGAGGTTGATGGACGTGGATTTGCAGTTTCTTTGTCTTTTCTCCCTCTTTGCTTCCTTGTATATAAATTTTGATCTCGGTTCAGGGCGACTTGCCCGTTTTCGTTTGTTTTCAGAATCTCGGCTTGGTTTCGGCCCACTCTCGTTTTGCGATTGATCTGAATCTCGTTTATTGTGTGTTTTGTCGAATGAATGGATGAATGAATGTCATGTCTGTTGCTTTTCTTTTGTCTGGTCCTTATCTTTGCTTGTCCTTTTGATACACTCATGAGCATAGCAGAAAGTTCTGCGTAGTCGTCATTACTGCTTCCATTGTTGTTTATTCTTTTTGAGCCATCGTTGTTGCTGCAATGCCTGATAGCTCAGGAGCGATTGCGTGTGGATTACGGAGTGATTAGATGATTGGGTAGTTGTTTGTCCAGAAACAAGCGAATACCTCGCGGGGCGCGTGCAAGCGCGATCTGATCTGCGCAGCCTACACGTATCAACGCGAGCTGATTCGCGACCATTAACGAACTTGACACCTTCGATTCGGGAGCCGCTGTGTTAGCTATCTCCTTACGGGTGATTGAAAAAGCAGGAAAAAAGAACGATCTGATCATGCTTGCAGAAGAGGATCAGCTCATCTCAGCAGACGAAAAGAAGATCAAAATGGTGGGACGGATGACCAATGTTGCTTTTCGATTAGGGAAGGTACATGCTTTGGGAGATGTCGTAGTTTTATGCGTAAGCACGTACGACGTCCTTTTCGGCCTTCTCGCTCTTGTGACCTTGTGAGCCAATCTGATTTCGAAAGACGATCGATTGTCCTCCGAAATACGGGAGGAAAGCCCTATGTTGTACCGATGAGACTGACTCTTCGTACTACCGCTAACATAGCCCCGCGAGTTTATCCCGCGATGAAGTGGACTCTTCACGTGATTACCTGGGACAACGGGCTGACATCCAAAGACGCGGACAACAGTGATGATGACGATCCATCAATCCTGGAGATGACGCAACAACGTATTCACTATCCCGTGCAATGGACAAATGTAGAAGTCTTGAGTCGGACTAACCTAGATCTACAGAGAACGCAAACAATGATTATGGGAGAACCTCTCGTACAGATTTCGAGGATGGTCAATTCTTTGGAACCCCCTCGAACCCTATACGAAGGAATCTCGCCTCTGCTCACACGATATAAGGACAAAAAACATTACAGCGATATCATAAATCTCTCGAGACCACTTTTGACACCTGCAAAAGAGATTCGATTGTTATGCTTAGGGGCAGAGACCAACTCTTTGGAACCCCCTGAGCGCCTCGAAAACGGACTCGGGATCAAGATCGCAACGAAACTTGTGTCGTGGCAAGACATTCGAGACGGAGTAACACCGGAGGACCACGTGTTCATTCGAGAACAAGATGCACAGATGATGACCACGGTGTTTTCCTGGCGATCGTATAACTTATTCATCTCCGCGCCCCCACCAGAGAACACCAAGCGGGTGAATACAAAACACATCGATGTAAGGATATGGGATGAGTTGTATGAGTTGCACGTACCCCGATATGTACCTGAGGAGATCCACCACCTGATCGCAGACATTCTGAAGGAATACAAAGGAGCGATTAGTGTGACATACACAGATATTGGACGGTCGTTAGTCATACAGCACGAGATCCAAACAGGAAATCATTCCCCAATTCACTGTAAACCTTACAGATACTCCCTGGTAGAACAGAAAAAAGCTCTCGAGCAGATTCGAGAATTTGAAGCAAGCGGTTGGATCGAACCCGCCACCGGACCATGGTCATTTTCGGTAGTACTAGTACCGAAAAAGAACAGATCGATTCGCATATGCATTGATTATCACAAACTGAATGAAATCATGATCAAAGATGTGTATCCCCTCCCCCGGATTGATGATTTGCTAGATGCGATTGGGTGTGCTAATTACTTCAGTAAGTTTGAAATTCGGCACGACTTCCATCACATTCTGGTCAAGGAGGAAGATCGGCCGAAGACGGCCTTCGTACAGTTTGAAGGCACGTGGCAATGGGTTCGGTGCCCGATGGGGATTTGCAATGCGCCCCCCACGTTTCACCGAGCCATGAATATCACGTTTCATAACTTCGTCAATAAGACGCGGTTAACACAGGGAATGATCAACTTCTGCGTCATACTATACATGGACGACATCCTGGTTTATTTGGAGACCTATCACGGGCATGCACAACATATCGAGTGGACGTTGGGTGCTCTGAAAGACGCCAGATTCAAAATCGCGCTCGAAAAGAGCGAATTTTTCCTTTCGGAAATCTCGTTCCTGGGCTATGTCGTAACACGTGGAGGACTGCGGCCTGACTCAAGAAAGGTCGCGGCGGTGAAGGAAGCTCTTGTCCCCACGTCACTGACGCAGGTTCGAGCTTTCTTGGGGTTAGCCTCGTACTATCGTCGTTTAATCAAATGCTTCGCCGCGATTGCATGACCCTTAACGAACCTATTACGAAAGGACCAGCCCCTTAGTTGGGACGCAGAGTGCGAACGGGCCTTCACGACCCTCAAGGACGCTCTGGCGACGACACCTATTTTGATCCGGCCAGACCCCGCGAAGCAGTCCATTCTCATCACGGACTGGCAGCCGGAGACTATTTCTGCTATCTTAGCGCAGAAGGGGAACGACGGCCGTAAACACGTCATCGAGTATGCATCACGAACGGTGCCAGATGAGCAGAGAAATGACTCAGCCCCACAAGGCGAATGCTACGCAGTAGTGTGGGGAATCCAACACTTCCATCCGTATCTGTACGAACAGAAATTTCTCCTTGTCACCGATCACGAGCCCTTGCTAGCGCTGAAACGACTCACTAATTACACGAGCATGATTGAATGCTGGGCGGTGCGCCTACAAGAATACGACTTCGACATCATCCATCGAAAGACGGAGAGGCATGGCAACGCGGACGGACTGACACGACTGCATCGACCAACTAAAGTGCCTAAGGCGGAAGAGATCGTCCCGTGGAAGGAACCGGAATCGGCGAACGGACCCAAGTACAGACAAGCAGTCCTTCCACGTGGCAAGAAGCAGGCAGGTGGCCATGGGTGACGGAGGTAACCCTTCAACTCCCCTCTCTCCCCTCTCCTCCTCATCTCTCCTCTCCCTGCCTAATAAATTTTGTTATTTTTGTGAACAATTTCTCGCGTATACTCGGTCTCTATGCGCCCTGGCAGGGAAGGATATGTGAAATGGGTAGACTGTCGACAGTGTGTCGCATGAGCCCATGGCTCGTGCATCCAATGCCGAAAATGGCAGTAAGCCTTGGCTGTGCCCCTTGTGTCGGGTTGATAAGATCCCGACCGAGGCTCGCTTTTTAGATGCCACATCAGAAGGGTTAGAGAAGACCCGGAAGTTTAGAAGGGCTGAAGTATGGACGGATATCGCCTTGATTGCCACCCTAGTAGGTAACCCCCTCCAGGACTTCACCAAAGAAGATCGGAGGAGGTCCAATGAAAGGGCTCGGGACTACCGCTGGAATGAGGGACCATCGGATTGGAAAAACGGAAAACGGATGGTAGTGGGATTTGGATGGTTGTGCCGCACCCGTTCATGAGGTATGAATGGGGGAAGACAACGCATGAGGAAACGACTGCCCATTTTGCCGTACGGATTACGGAGGCTGCAATCGACAAAAATGAGTGGTATTGGTCCTATATTTGTGACGATGTGAAGTTCATCGTCGCGAACTGTCAGGTCTACTCTGCTGACAAGGCGCCGATTCAGCCGCCGAGATCGATAGTGCCGACGGTAGTTGAACGACCTTTTCAAAGAGTTAGCATGGATACTACCGATATTGTGGTGCCCCCTGGACCTAATAGCTGTGAATATTCAATCTTACTGGTATTCGTGGACCATTTTTCGAAATGGATCGAGGCGTATCCGTGCCGTACGCGACAGGCGGCCGAAATTGCGTGATATGTCAATCGGTTTTTAGGGATGCACCAGGACACGGAGGAAATTCTGACCGATAATGGGGTAAAATTTAGGGGAGAAGTCTTGAGGAATCTGGTCCTACACGTCGTTGCTATCCGGAATACCACACCCCACATGTCGCAATCCAACGGGCTGGTAAAAAATGCAAATAGAGTGATAAAGACTGCGCTACGACGCAATATCGCGGCGCGGGACCCAAGGCCCTGGCCCGATATTGTAGATCACATCCTGACGGTCCATCGAGGGACACCCCACGAATCGACGGGCCTGAGTCCTTTCCAATTATGGACCAACAGTGTGGCATGTGTTTCGATACCCAGCCTCCCGGACGAATTGTCGTTGAACTGACGGCCCACGAGGGCCATGGTTCGGGACAAGGCCAAGCGACATATGGAATTGTTGGAAAGATCCCTGCCCCGATTAGCCCAAAAGCGCCAGAAAATGAACGCGGGCCCGCGGCCCCAGTACAAATTAGGGGACCTGGTGCAGGTGACGAAATGTGCTCGCCAGGGAAAGATAGTGCCACGATTCTTCGGGCGATTTCGCGTGATCGAGCTCGGCCCGAACGGGGTGAACACGGTGCGCCTCGTGCAAGAGGTCTCAGGGAGCCGATCGGCGCGGCCGATCGTACGCCACATGTCCTATCTACGTTCCCTCCCTTCCTCCCCATCTCCTGCATCTTCTTCCTCCTCCTTCGCTACGGAGGAAGACGACGACTCTCCATCGCTTTCTTCCTCCCCTGCATCTCTCGCCTTTTCCTGTACTCCGTCTCCGCCACCAGCGCCATGAGTTTTCTTACGGAGCGAGCTCTCGACGATCATCTGCTAGCGCCACGTGGTTACATCTCGGCAATCCGGCAAGTTCATCATCCACGCTTCAGTCTGGATCTTCTACGGCTTGCGCAGTTCTTCTGTACCACAGGGGTATTCGTGGCAGCAGAGTTCCGATTCCACAGGTACCCCCACTTTTCACCCCTAGGGTAACCTTCACATCCATGAAAAGTGCAGTGSGGATCATGTTTTTTTGTTTTTTTTTTGTTTTTTTTTTTGCCTTGTTTTTTTTTTGGTCAAAGCATGTATGTGCCAAGTTTGGTGTTTGTTGGGTTCCTGGAGATGCTTGTTTTGGGCAGCGGTGGAAATTGTGAAAATCGGCAATTTGAAATGTTGGTAAAATTTCATGAAAGTTCACTTTTGCCTTGCTGTTTTATATGGTTTTTTTTTTTTTTTTTTTTTTTTTTTTTTTTTTTTTTTTTCCTACAATAAGTTAGTAAGAAGTGCACTCTACAGATTGGTGTGAAGTATGGTTAAAATGACCCTTTGTTTTTTTTTTTAATAAATGGAGGTGAAAAATGGGGGGTCGGTTAACCTTCTGCCTCCGATTCGCGAGTAATCGTCAGGCGGTTGTGTTGGCGGAAGCGGTAGCTGTCCATCGACGGTCAACTCCAGGGATTAGCCACATGTCCACCGTCGTCTCCTTCAGCGGCGATATCAGCGCGATCAGCCCGCTACGGCATACAGCGATCCGGACGTCACTAAGAGAGTGGGGTCATCAGCTGGCTGCGGAATGTAACCACTGGCTCACGCAACCCGGGGACAATCTTGTCCCTACGGACGACATAGAACTTTGTGGGATTCGAGCGTCCCAGCACGAGCCGGCGGTGATGCTTCCGGAGCTCATCCTCTTTCAAAGTCTCCAATGAACCGCTCCCAACTCTCCACCTTCGCTCTCCCATCTCTCGTTCCCACCTACTCGCAGTCTAGTCTTCACCCTCGTTTCTCCTTCTGTTTGGAACCGCTCGCTGTCCCCCTTCTCGATCCAAGGCAGTGGGAGTTGTGGTGTGAACATTTTGTCGATCTTTCGGTATGCCTGGTCGGAGTACGACTCACGTGGATAAGGGACGAGGAGCACCGCGTTTGGATTGAGTACCTGGAGCTACTGATCATCCAGGCCTGGCGGACGGAGGTGGAAGGCGATCTTCTTGGATTCCTGTTCGGATCGGTGTGGCCCGGCCATCGCCAGCTGATCGTGCAGGAACTCACGGTTCCTCTCCCGCAGTTGGTTGACGATCTTCCCCTTGATATTGTCTCGCAGAGCGACGAGAGCCTGGTCCCGCACGTCCTCACACGAATTCTGACGCCGTACCTTCATGGTCAGCGTGCCTGGAGGAGTCGGGAAACGGCCGCAACCCGCCATCGCAACGAGGATATCCGGACCCGCGGGAGATAGTCGACCTCGCTTTCTTCCAGTATCGAACAGTCTCCGAAGACGAGGAGCTAGCGATAGAAGAAGAAGCGGAAGAAGAAGAAGAAGGCACAGAGGAGGAAGAGGAGGAGGAAGAAACACTGGAAGAAGGCAGTTATAATGAACACAGCGAGGGAGAGCAGAGTGAGGAAGAAAAAGAAGAGGAAGACGAGGAAGAGGAAGATGAGGAAGAGGAAGAGTTGGAGCTGGAAGAATCCGAGTGGGAAATCTCGGCGGAAGAAGGGGAACAAACGGACGCTCAGGCGAAGGACCCTCAGGCAACGCGCAAAGGAGAAGAAATTGCAGTCGGAAAGCGACAGTTGGAATTCGCAAGCGGAGCAAATCTGCCGATCGCCGAGGATCCCGCCAAAAATTCGGAGCTGCCCAAGCCCGAAGATGGGGACCCAGATGCCGAGACTTCGAGCGCACCAGCCAGGCGGCGACGAAGTCGATCCCCCTCCCCCTCCACCTTCGACCGTCCACCAGTTCGAGCCCGTACCGATGGGGGCCATCGGGCTTCGTCCCCGGTCCTTATCCCGTCGTCCCCTTGATCACTTCACCCTCCGCCAGATCACCACCCGCGTCACCTTCCCCCGTAATCCCTTCCTGATTGATACCTTCCGATTTTTCTACGCCACCCGCCTTGTTGTCACTGTTCACCCCCACCCCTCAACTCGGTGTGCCCTCCCCGACTTCTGTCTTCATGCCCTCCTCTTCAGTGCCGCGTGGCGAGGCCACAACATCGTCAAGGTTTATTGCATGATCACGGGGACTATACCCGCATGCGAGAACCACGATCAATTCCGCGCGGCACTCTTCCGAACCTTCGCCACCCTCTACCCTGACTATCTCGCCTCCCTCCCTCATAGTTGTAATCGATTCCCTCGCTTCCACTGGATCATCCGATATTAGGAGCTTCCGGAAACAGTTGCGGGATTGGAACGCTTTCTACCTCCACTCCTGACTAACCCAACCCCTCGCCATGCCCCCATGTATCGTTTTCCCTTTCCTCTCCCTTTAGGACATTGATGCATGGTTGATGAGTATGTGCCCCGACGATGGCACGAAAAATCCCCTCCTGGGATTGAAAAGAGCCCTTCCTGAGGAATTCGTAGAATAGAGCCCCGTATGCCACACTGGATGACGTCCACATTGTTTTCGTATGGTAAGTGGCAATGAAAAACCCCGCGTGTTGATCGATTAGAGAAATCGACACGTATCATGATTCAAGCACGCAGGAGCTTGCTTAAGATTGGAACCCCCTGGGCGTCACATATGTGACGAACCGATTCCTGTTTCGTGCGACTTTCTGCGCGATAACAATGAGGGGTCCTAAGGTGGGAAGGATGAGTCAATTACGGAGATCGTGATTAAGGGAGAATTGCATCAGTGTCCTCGTTTTTTCGTCTTTTCTCTTTCAACAGAAAAATTCCCGCGAGAAATGAAAGTTGAAAAAATAGTTCATAAAAAAAAAATTCTTCATATTTATAAATTATCATTCCAATGTTTGTCAAATTCTAAAATTTTCAGTTTTTTTTGATAAGTTCCCGTCTAAATATGAGCTTTCCCTTCCAACTACATCTGTTTGTTCAAGATGGAATGGAAGTCAGAACGAGTTTATGAAATGTTTTAAACAAACTTTCATTCTACTACAACAAATATATTCTAATTTAGATTGGATTAACCTATTTATGACTGAAAATCCTTACTTAGAATGACAGTCCAATTAAAACTTTTCATGAAATCATCCAGACTTTCATTCCATCTCTAGCATGCAGTTCAAATAAGAAGGGGTACCCCATTCTTGGAAGGAAAGTTCTCAAGTAAGACGGGAAATTTTCAAATTGGAATGACACTTTTTAAAATGGAACGAAAATTTAAAATTTAGAATGTAATTTTACTATAGAATGAATATTTAATTCTGGGAAATTTTCCTGTTGTTCGTCGCTTCTTTTCGAATGGCTGGATTTAGGGTTGGGCAAGTCCCGAGATGATTGATTGAGTGGCTGTCGCGCCGACCAGGCGCGATTAATAATGGTTGACGCCGCTTCTTTTCTGTGCTGTTGTCGGATTTTAGGACCGGAGACCGCGCGGGAAATTTTGCTTCGTTCTTTTTGAATCTTGTCGAGCCCCAATGGCTCTCGGAATTTTAGACTTTCCTTTCGGAATTCGTGGTTTTCGCTTTTTCTGCATTAGATAGGAATTTATGAATTTTCGAATTTAAGATTTTTTTTTGTCGCGCAACACTTTTTGCTTACGCGCTTCTTTTTGTGGCTGCAACGGAGCTCTGATTAGTCAGCGCCCTTAATCGTGTGTGTAACTGTAATTTTGGGCGGGCGCCATTGTAACTGTATCTTTCTTCTTGAACTTCGTCTTTCCCGCTCCCCCTTTTCTTCCTTTCGCTGTGCCTAGTTAGCCCGCGGCCTGCATGCTCGGATCGATGCGTGGAGAGTGGCTACGTCCCCCGCGCCACGATCTGGCCATGCAGAACGCAAACGCTCCTTCTCCTAATGCCCTTTCTTAGTCCTTGCCATTCCGTGTTCTTCGCGTATGCATGCACGCTATAAATTTCAGCTGCGCGATTAAATAGCTCTCTTAACCAGCTGTTGGAAGCTCGGGGCAGCGCGATCAGTGAGGGTCGGCTGACGAGCGAAGTAAGAGGTAAGTTGAAGTGGAGTCGAGTAACCCGACGAGCTGGTGCCGAACGCGTGGGGTTGACACGGACCACGACGGACTGTGGGCGCGGGCGAACCTGACGGGTGCGGGAGGACTAAGCGGGGTGACGACTTCGTGGGTTGGTGCGTGACGACGGACTGTCCGCATCGGAGAGAGAGAGAGGAAGAGGGAGTTGAGGTTGATGGACGTGGATTTGCAGTTTCTTTGTCTTGTCTCCCTCTTTGCTTCCTTGTATATAAATTTTGATCTCGGTTCAGGGCGACTTGCCCGTTTTCGTTTGTTTTCGGAATCTCGGCTTGGTTTCGACCCACTCTCGTTTTGCGATTGATCTCGATCTCGTTTATTGTGTGTTTTGTCGAATGAATGGATGAATGAATGTCATGTCTGTTGCTTTTCTTTTGTCTGGTCCTTGTCTTTGCTTGTCCTTTTGATACACTTATGAGCATAGCAGAAACTTTTGTGTAGTCTTCATTACTGCTTCCATTGTTGTTTATTCTTTTTGAGCCACCGTTGTTGTTGCGATGCCTGATAGCTCAGGAGCGATTGCGTGCGGATCACGGAGTGATTAGATGATTGGGTAGCTGTTTGTCCAGAAACAAGCGAATACCTCGCGGGGCGCATGCGAGCGCGATCTGGTCTGCGCAGCCTACACGTATCCACTCGCACTGATTCTCGACCATTAACGAACTTGACACCTTCGATATCGGGTAGGCGGGAATTTCCCTTCCCCCACGCACCTAAACGGGTAGGAGTTTTCGATATCACATCGGAAAATCCCCTTGCCGATTAGACGCGTGCGGGAGGATTCCATCACACTGCAGTGATAAGATGTCGAGCTCTTGTGATTCGGAGTATTTCGACCCTTGGGTGAGAGAATGTATTAGGCAAAGATACCCGAAATTCCCCTGCCTAACCAAGAACCGATTGGGCCCCAGGGAGTCTCACTGTGCCACAACCAGCGATCCGAGGTGGCCCGATTATCCAACTACGGATAACTCACACTACTTCATATCCCCCGGTTTCGTTGTTATCACCACCAATTTCCCTCCCTTCAGTCTCCTCCTCCCGTATCACCAACTCACGGTGGTTCCGTGGAATTCCATCGCCCGTACTGGCCCCGCACGCCTTGCGGAAATTGCCAGCAACGCGGCAACCGGCGAGCCCCGAAAACTCGAGGGCCTAGCCAGAACATGCGACGACAAACGCCACGTGCCTGCACCCAAAGGTCCGACTCATCGGGAACACAACTATCCCGGGCGGGCCTCTCCCCGAACCGCCACCCCCAAATCAGTCGGATTGGACGGCCTGGAATGCACCGCGCATACCATCCACCTTATGCTGCACGACATCGAACGACATCAGACCGGAAGTAACTCGCCCCCTTAGCCATATTGCATCTATGCCCTTGAAACTTTGCCACAGGAGATCTCAGTTCCGATCTGGGACTCCACCCCCACTTTCCCAAAAATCCTTGGCACACCCCTTTTCGCACTTCCAGGCCCACATCCCACTCCGATCAGGAAGTCGTGCTGGGCGTGAGGTTGGGCGTCACAGGGCGTTGAAGTTGGGGAGCAAGGCAGCCCAGTGACAAGAAGCAAAGGGAAAGGGGCCGAACCGGGCCGCTGAAACGAGTCGGGTGCATGCGCAGCGAATGGAGGGAAAAATAGGAGAAGGGCGTGTTCGCTCATCTCTGAGCGGAGAGTGATGAGGGAAGGTTCGTAGCCAGGTTTTTTTGGGCGGGTGACCCCAAATCCAAAGTCAGATTAGTGTTAGGAGGAGTGTAGAGGAAGCAAGGAGGAAAATGGTGTGCGTGGGAGATAGCAAACAGCGAAGGAGGAGGAGAGTGAGATTCTAACGATCTAAAGTGCTATATAGGGGTTTTATGGTCGGGCGACCTCGATGGTAAGGTTAGTTTCAGGAGTAGAGTCGGAGGTCAGTGAAAAACGAGGTGCGCCTGGAGATAGCTGAAGTTGGAGATGATATCGCACTCGGTCCTCAACGGAAAAAAAAGAAAAAAAGTGCATTGTAACGCCCAACCTCACGCCCAGCGCGACTTCCTGATCGGAGTGGGATGTGGGCCTGGAAGTGCGAAAAGGGGTGTGCCAAGGATTTTTGGGGAAAGTGGGGGAGTCTTAAGGGTATGAATGCAATTAGGCGAGTCAAGGGTGCGTGCGCAAGGGACTCACGGTCTGGTGGGGCCAGGGCACTGTGGGTGACGGGTTACGGGGAAGTCCCTCCGTGGTGGGGGTGGTCCTGAAAAGTTAGGCCGTCGGGGGCCGCCACGTGGCGCAGGTCGCCGCGCGCCCGGGTTGGGCCTTCGGAATTCCGGAGTTCTCTGTCCGCCGCTACGTCGGCAGTTCACGCAAAACGTATTGGGCCAGTAGGGGGCTATGGCGGGCCACGGGACGACACTTAGGTGAAAATATGGGAGAAGGAGGCGAAAAGGAGGGAAACTGGTGGTGATCTCAACGAATCCCGGATGGTTGAAGTAGTATGTGTGGTCGGGGGACGGGAAATCGGAGCATCGAGGGTCGCTAGTGGTGTCACAGTGGAATTCCCGCGGACATAGCCGATTCTCCGTGTGACAAGGGTACCGTGTCCTTATGAGTTCGTTTATTATAGGGGTGAAATAGTCCGGGTCATAGGACGAGTCTGAGTTCCAAGATCACGTCATGGTATCATCGTCGATGGGATAGCTCGGGTCGGGATATCGTCACGGCGCACGGACACGTGTAGGACAGGCAGATTCAGTATGTTCGTACGGGATGACGGTTCCGCCTCAAGTCTTCCTGGATGGGCGAATCGACGTACGGGAATGCGTGTAAGGGTGCGACTCAGATCGCGTTCACACGTATTCTCGCGCGGCGTTCGTGGGGTCAATCCCCATATCGTTTAATTGCTTCGGATTATGCAAGATGCGACCATATCACAACCCCCATCGCGAGATAAACAAGTACGAGGACAAAATCGCTATTGGTGCCAGATCCTTATCCCATCTACAACTGCATCATCTGTGAGCAAATGTTCCACACAAATAAAGGTAAGGGCCGGGATTCTCAGCAGTGATGTAGATGCGCAAGCATAACATCCCTACATCCATACATTCAACAATCATACACATCGCGCAATCGAGA